AAAAAAAAAAAAAAAAAAAAAAGAAGGGTACGGATATAAATTTAGGGAGATAATTGCTAAATTCTCATTGGAAAATAATCTCATATCTAGAGAACAGGGGAAAGCTAGAAATAGCAGAAAATAAAATAACAGCACCAATAAAAGATGTCAATTTTTTTTTTTTGTTTGTTTAAGATGTCAATTTTGTCAGGCACCTACCGAGGCCTAGCATCCATCCTCTACTACAAACATGGACCTTTTTTAACCAAAAAAAAAGGAGTTCAAAAAAGAAAAAAGCGGCAATACGATGTCAATTTCAAAATAAATAAATAAATAATAATAATAATGATGGGGTTAGAGACGAAGAAATGAATGAGCAGAAAAGGAAAGCAATGTCCGTACACATGCTTCTGAACACAACTCCAAATGATTCAAAAAAAGTTACATCACATCGTGTTCCATGAACTCAGGAATTGAGAAATGAGCAAAAAAGTACAAAATAAAAGTAAAAAATGGTGCACTTCCACCGGTTGCGCGCCGGCGGTCATTGACAGGACATTGAGAAATGAGCAAAAAAGGTCAATTTTTCAACAAAAAAAAAAAAAAAAACCCTTCAATTTACTAGTCGTAAAAAAGGTAAAGCAGAAATGCGCAAATAAAACTTCAACATAGCATACGGTAACTATATCGAAGCAAAGGAAGAAAAAAGGAAGAAAAGCTGCAAATAAAAAAGTAGAGGGCATCGCTCCGCTACTCAGCCAATAAGATTACAAAATAACAAAAAAGTAAAAGTGACAAACTTTAAGATGAAAGGAAAAAAATCGTTGTAATGAGCAAAGTGAGACATGGGAAGATACACACTGTCAGCCATTCCAAGACTTGTTTTTTGTGCATGTCGTCAAGAGTTACTGCAGTGGAGCGAGGCCCATAATACCCTACATGAATACGCCTGTTTGGTATATCCTATGACGATGCATATGTAAATATATAGGCTTCAGCCTCCTAATGAGTCAGTGAATCTCACATGACGCAGTCTCCCACAGCCCCTCGTTTGTTGTCCTCTTCTCTCTCCCTCTCTGCCTACGGCTTACCGGACATTTCTGTTTGACGACATATGTATACATATTGTGTACATATATTATTTATGTAGATATATATACGTCACAGCCCCTAGTTTGTTGTCCTCTTCTCCCTCTCTGCCTACGGTTCACCGAGCAGCTCTGTTTGCCGATATATCCGCAAATATGGTTGATGCACATATAGTAATATTTATATTTACGCCAGCTTACTTAAGAAATATAAGGCATGATCGTAATTACAACTTTTTTTTTTTTTTTTTTTTTTTTTTTTTTTTTTTTTTT